CTTAATGGGTTTATAAAAAATATCAAATTTATTCAAAAAAAAAAGTTTATAAAACTGTATCGTTAAGTTAAATTGTGATTAAAAGCTCAATTTACATCATAAAGATTATTGAACAATTCAGCTCAAAACAAATTATGCTTCCATTCCGCCATCGTGTCGGTAATCACTCACACCTAGAAATATTGACAGTCTAATCCAGACTTGTTTATTGATGATTTTAATTAATCGCAATATGATCCAGATCTTACCATGTCGCATGTTGTTGTGTTTCTTCTAGTTGTCGAAGTCGTCGTAGTTCCATATGCCGCTTTGTCTTCAGAGTTGTCTTCCGTTATTTATGGATTCTCTACTGATCCCTCTAGTGACTCGTCAGGCTCCATCACCGTCAATCTGAAGGCCTCCTCGACGTGCCTAGCATGTCATTGCGCTTCATTCACGGTGTTGAACTTCATGTTGTTTCAGTGCATATGGATCTCAGTCAGCCAAAGTAGGACTCCGCCATTTCCTCCTCTTCTTCTCCATGCCCTAGCTTCTCGACTTCTAAATTGAATTCCTCTTTGTAGTCGCGCACTTGATGAAACTCATGTTGGATGCTCGAGGTGACTGAAACTCCACATGCCGGCTTCTTAAAAAACTATTTTCGAAATTAGAACTGGGACGGACACATGAAATTAAACTATAATCTAAATTCTGATCCCAATTTAAACTAAAACACTACTTTAACCGTCTTAAGTTTTTTTTTTTTATAAACCGTGGGAGTTCCGAACTTTTGGCTAATAATTTTTTTGGTACCCGGAGACAGTTTTTAGATATTTCGATTTAAAGAATAACTCTCCATCCTAAAGAAAGTTTGAATCCGGGACAAAAAAAATAAAACCCCACGGGTTAACCGTCTTAAGTTGGTGCATGTTTGACTCTTCTTTTAAATTCATCAAGTCCAAAAATCTTTGAAAATATTATGTTTATTAGACCTGCAAAGATAACATGTTTTTCCAAAGCGGAGATCAAACATGTGTTAACACATTTAGGAGGAGGTTTCTGTAACTGGAAAAAAGGCAATTGTGATGAAGATTTTAGTTTTTTTGGGATGAAACTCAATAGAAATATATTTTGGGATGAAACACAATAAAACTAAAAATTGCCAAAAATCTGACCAAATCATCAAATTGTTGATAGGTAAATGTAAATTATTTTAAAACTGTCATTTCAAAGTATATATCAAAATAGTAAAACCTGTCAGAAATGATATTTTCGTCTGTTAAATATCAAAAACTAGTTTTTTATTTCTCCCAAAATTGTCTCGCCTTCTTTAACCATCAACACAAATTTTCTCCTTAGATAAATTTCAAAAAATAACACTTTATAAAAATGTCATATTTTTGAAATTTTTACAAAAATGTCACTTTTTCAAAAATTTTTATATTATTTATGTTTGGATTAATTATGATTTATTAGGGTTTAGTTTTGAGTGTTTAAAGGGTTTTAGGTGTCAAAACATTTTTTATGG